TTTCATAAGAGATAATGTATCTTAGGGGATTTGATGTTTAGAGTCCAAGATAGAACTAGTTTCATCGATAGGAATGTTGGTGAATAAAAAGACAATATTAATACTAATTAGTACCTATATCTGAGGGTAAAATAGAAATGTTTTTCAGATCAATGAAATGAAAAGAGTTAGTATCATTGGCAAAATGTTTTGCCAATTTCTAAGTGAGGCAGTTGTATGCACTGACGATGGATCTTAGGGGAATATTAGGCTTATGGATTTTTGGAAGGCCGTATCTCTTTGGAATGCGAAATGAATTTTCTCTAGTATAAGAGAGAATATAAGAGATTTTTTGATGTCTGGAGGTAGAGTAGACTTATTTATGATATATTTGGTCGCTTTTTTCAGTTTCTAAAAGAAAGGATTTTACGGTGGGGGTTTAGAAGTACGGAGACATCTATTCTGAAAACTTCGGCTTGATGAGAGATATGAGAAATAGCTTTTTCAGTTTGACAAATAATTATCTCAGTTGGGATGAAAAAAGGAGTGACAGAAAAATGTAAACATAGCTTTTGACATAGCTTTGGTAGCTAAATCTATGATGGCTGTGAATTTTGCTGACAGATAAGTTGGTCCAGTTTGCGTTTCTGGGAGTGGGCTTTGTTGTTAGAAATGTGTTACGCTTTTTTGGTAAGAAAGGCCATCGAAAGTGATATTATGATATTAATATTCCTATTGGAGTTCAAAAAATACCTTTATCTTCAATAGTGCTCAATAAGAAGAGGAGTAAAAGGAATAAATAAAAAAAAACTAAAATTTGTGCAATATAATTAAAATATAATAGTAAAATAAACCTTTTAAAACTGTTTATACAACTAATAAAATCTATTGTCTCGTCTCAATAAATGATTCTATACACTTTATGAAAATGATTCACTTTAAATAACTCTTTATCGAAAAACTTCCCTGGTTCTGCTTATAAATACAGTCCTGTCGATCAAAAGAACATCCTGACTCACGTTTCTATCTCCTTTTGGGATTGCCTCTACCTGCTTAACTACGAATCAATCCGGAATAATAATTTGTTTGCACTTACAAATTCTGCACACTTTTCATCCGGCAAATCAGCTTTCAAACTTACCGACACTACTATTTTCACAAAATCTATTGTATTTTTCTTTTAACGTTAAAAAAAAACACACACACTTGTCGAATTGATCTTTCCTCACTTCCCGTTAAACAGCAGATGATCACTTTTTCTCCTTCAAAAATCATTCTCGTCTCTCAATCGCTTCCATAATTTTTTGTTGACCAATCAACATCTTCGACTCAATACTCCAAACGCCAACACTTTCCAATTAACATAATTGTGTACAAAAATATGAGACTAAGACTTTCTACTTTCTACTATACCCTTAATGAGTTGTCTCGTGGTAACCGAAATGAATCCTTGAAAAAATGCAGGCAGATTTGATCTTTTAATATAACATTTTATTTACTTAAACTAATCTTAAATACCTATCCTAATTTGAAAAGTCCGACATTTACGGTAAATCTAAGATTCGAGATAAGATTGATACTATTACAAAAATTAATATTAAACTCACCAGTCTTCCGGCTTGAACCGCGTCGATATCCATTTTGCCGAGCTTTCGACATCCTCTCTAGTGTTTTCCTCGGGGCTTCCGAGGTCTCAGTCTCCCGAGCCCCCAGACACTACTACACTGGTCAATGATCCCTTTACTGACACTACTAGTGTACACTGAGTACACTGAGTAGTGTGTACTATAGTACTAGTGTACACTGAGTAGTGTCAGTGAAGTAATCAATGACCAGTGTAGTAGTGTCTGGGGGTTCGGGAGACTGAGACCTCGGAAGCCTTGAGGAAGACATCAGAGAGGATGTCGAAAGCTCGGCAAAATGGATATCGACGCGGTTCAACCCTTAAGACTGTTGAGTTTAATATTAATTTTTGTAATAGTATTAATCTTAGCTCTTGGTTTCATTGTACTATAGTTTATTTTTATGAACCAGAGAGTAATTAGCATAATTTTAACTGGTATCTCCGACCACTCCATGGGCGTGCTCAAGATTAATTGAAAAATTACTTTGAATAATTGTAAAAAATAAATGAATTATTTCAGTGTTATAAAGTGTTATGTGTATGTAAACAAAAGTGACCTCTTTTATCACACACTATATTAGAACTGACTGGCCTACATTAAAAAGGGTTTTAAAAAATTCACATTTTTTTTTAATTTTTAAAAATTACAAAAGAGAAAAAGAGTTTTTAAAACCGTCTAAGGTATGTTAAATAGATGAATAAAAATATTAATATAAAACTTACAGCTACTTGTTACAAATCCAAATCAGATTCAGAAGATGAACTTTCAGAACCAAGATTGATAATAACTGGCTCGATCATTTTATCAGTAATATTGTCCAGCTTCCACATTTTTTCCTCTTCTTTAATAGTGTGATTTACTGCCTTTTCCCAGTTTTCAGGTTTTACATTATTTACGGCGTCCAAAAACAACTGTTTAACATCATGAATTTTAAAAGTGGTATTTTTTCTTGAAACTTCACTCTTTATCTGTGTCCATACCAGTTCAATCGGGTTTAATTCACAATGATATGGTGGGGATCTAAGTACTGTCATTCCACGATTTTTGGCAATTTCATCAATTTCGTATTTTTTAAATTTTTCTTTATGAAGGGCACACAACGAATAAAGTTCCTTTCTTATAGATCCGGATGGTACGTAATATTTTTTGAACTCAGCCAATTCTGCAAGTCTTTTTTTAACCACTTGGTTGTGGGCACTCCTTCTATAAGTCTGGAGTGATAACTTGCATTATCCATTACTATTACACAGTTCTTAGGAACAAGATCTATCATTTGTTCGAACCATTCTTGAAAGACATCAGCGTTCATGTCTTCATGGTAGTCACCGGTACGAGTTGATTTAAAAGTTAATAAACCACCTTCAACAAAACCGTCTGAACTGCCAATGTGTACTATTATCAGCCTGCGTCCCTTTCCTCATGGTGGGTTTAAATCAGTAGATAAGTTATTTACAAAAGCGTGCCTTTGACTTGTAACAGTTTCATCCTGCCAAAATTTATTTGGTGTATAACTCTCGTTGATCCATGTTTCATCAAGATAAAATATTTTTCTTTTTTGGTTTCTCATTTCCTTTATGGTTCTTAGAAAATGTCTTCTCCATATGACAATATCGCTTCTTTCTAATAAAATAGACTTTCTGGGATTCTTTTTCCAGCGGAAGCCTATTTCTTTTAAAAGTTTCCATAACATACTTCGACTCATTTCTGGGTAATCCTTATCATCTCGAACTGAGACAAGAACTTTATCCAATGTTGGAAATTCTTGTCTAAAGAAGAATTCATGCACTTTCCGTCGAAGTCCTTCTTTAAAATGATATTCTATTTGAAATTTTGGTTTCCCTGGAGCATTACGTGGAATTTGAAAACTACCACATTTCTCTTCTTTAATAACTCTGTAAATCGTAGATTTCCCAACACCAAGTGTACTGATAACTAACTCAACGGTCTCATCAACACTTTCACATAAACGTTTGTCTTTAAATGATTTAAAACAATTAAATATTAATGTTTTTTCATTAACTGTTAAAGGACCAATTTTTCGGCGTTTACACGGCACTTCCAAATTTTCCATAACACTAGTATACACAATAAACTGCACCTTGCAACTGAAGTACCTACTTTTAGTGAACTGTTAAGAATTTTGAATACGCCACTTGGACCTTCCTACAAAATGGAAAAACCCACTATCACATTTTCTGTGGAATAAGTTTAGAAGGTAATTATCTAGTCAATTACTGTCGTAGATTCCTGAATTAAAGAATTAAATGTTTGATTGTTGAAACCCTTACTTCGTGGAATTCACTCATTTCAGATAAAATAAAACGTTTTATTTTATCTAAAGAATTAAACTCTATTTGTAAATAGGTAGGTACTTATTAAACTTTTATTGGTTATATATAACCAATAAAATAAACATCTTACATTTCTGCAAATTCATTAGTACCTGTTAACCTCCATCACTCCGACAGTGGCAACCTTATTTAGGGATTAGTAACCCTCACAACTATTGTATTCTATTCTGCTCCAACCTTTATACCTGGTGGTCATACTCAATTTAAAATTGTTTTTTTATATACTTCTGTAAACTTGTTGACAAATATCTGTTTTTCATTGAGTCACCCGTATCAACAGTTTAGGGATTTGCATACATAATTTATTGTTTTATTACTCTCTCATACATAAAAATACACTATAACTGCGGAAATCTTTCCGAATATATATATATATATATATATATATATATATATATGTATGTATGTATGTGCCAAAAAATTTTTTCGTTAAACGGTGATATTCTACCATTGTTACTAGCTACTTTGGACGCAAGTATTTACTCATAGGTCCCATTCTGAGTATATTACATCGTTGGATGTACTTCTCATAAAACATCTTTTTCACTTTACATATACATAATAAATTTTCTTTCACTTATTATTTTGTATATTTGTTACAAATTTTATATCCAAAGATAATACGCTAGCTATGAAAAGCAACTAATAACTGTTAACGACAAAATTTCAAAAAATTTTGTCCATTGAAGTCCAAACACACACTAACCCTTCTCTATAAAAAACAAAACAATAATTTTTATAATATTTGTTTTTTATGTTGTGAATTGGTAACGAATAAATAAAACTTTTTAAAAGGAGCCACATAAGTAAATAACATATGTTTCAATATTTATTAAGTTTGGAAGTATGGAATTATATGGAATTGTTTCTCGGATTGTGTGTCGTTAAACTATCATTAGTAAGTTACATTTTGCAATTTACACTGTTTTGTGACTACCTATTTACTTTTACAACTACCGACCCGTAGATATAAGTAATTCTTATAGTCAAATTAATTTACATATTCTCTAAATTATTCGTTTCTTTTATAAACTAATAAACCAACCTCTTTGGCAACAAAAACATTCAATGTTATTTAAAGCTCGCCCATAAATGGAGGTAACACCTCCTACGACCAATATTTGTGTGCCGAGATACGAAATAGCATGTCCATGTCTGGGAATATTCATATTAGTGACTATAACCCATTCCAACTTATTGTCTTTCCATACATCTACATCCCCCGTACTACAAATGTCATATTCTGATGATTTTCTTGCTCCGCCAATAATGTAGATCTTCTGTGACAAGACAATCATAGAAAAAAAGCATCTTGGATATCTTAAAGGATATTGAACTCGGGTCCATCTAAAAATATACGAAATGTAGGTTTTTATTAAAATGCCGTGGAGGGATTTACTGATCAGTTTTAGTGTCATAAGTTTCTACGGAATCTAATATTTCAATAAGATTGTCCTTTTCGTCAAGTCCACCTGCAACCCAAATACAGTGTCTATATTTTGTACATCCAAATCCTGCTCTGGCTCTTAGCATGGAAGATACTCTGTTCCATAGTTTTTTCTTCACATCATATATTTCAACAGAATTTAAGGTTCTAAAATACATAATAAATACATAAAAATCTGATCACCTGCTTCTACTAAACGGCCATATTAACCCTAGTTCGGACTATGCTAGTATTTTAGTCGAGTCGCGAGTTATTTGGTGGGTAGTGGGTAGGAAACTCCTTGGATTTCCTTGGACAGTCCTATCAGGGAAAATGAATCAGTTCCTCTGATCCGGGGAACCAGTACCTGTTTAGGGTCCCTTGTTCAGGGTTACGAATGAAGACCACAACGGCAATCACGACGGAGAAGGATACCTTCGGTAAGACGAGAATGGTGGCAGTGGCGACCCCAGATTTTAGGGCTAGTATAAAGTCAATTTTGACTGAACGATCGCCGGTATAAGCGATTCTACTCACCTTACCAACGGTCTCTGGAGAGAAGGCGGATGAGCATACGTGAGACAGGGCACTCTTTTGTCCTTAGGGTGGGAAACTGTCTCTAAAAGGCAGATGAACAAAGGATGTCAACGGCATAAGAATACGGAAGGCAATGGGAAACCACCGTATTAAAGGCCCCAAGGATATCCCAAGAAAGATAATGATGGAAAAGACATTGCTAGCAACGGTCCCTAGTCCGTGGCAGGCCTTAAGTGGTCAGGGGTGCTAAGAATCTCCGCGAAGAAAAACAATGCTAGGAACCACCCGAAAGTGGAAAAAACCCCAAAGCTAAAACTGGGTACTTGGAACGTTAAAAGTCTTTACACTGCCGGTAAACTAGACAACATAATACAAGAAATGGAACGATGCGACCTAGACATCATAGGACTTAGCGAAATCAGATGGCCTAAGAGTAGTAAATGTACTAAAGAAAAATCGACACTATATTACTCAGGAAATAACCTACCCCATTATTATAACGGAGTTGGATTTCTAGTTAACACAGCCTCAAACAAATCAGTAAGGAACTTCGTGGCATACTCATATAGGGCAGCACTACTACAAGTCCAAGCCGATCCTGTTGACCTTAACATTATACAAATCTATGCACCAACCATGGACAAGCCTGAAAATGAAGTAAAACAATTGTACAGAGAGGTTAAGGAGTTAATGAAACTGATCAAGAAGAACCAGACTCTTATAATCATGGAAGATTTCAATGCGAAGGTAGGGCGAGGACGTGTTGAAGATGTCGTAGGTGACTTGGTTTCGGAGATCGAAACGAGAGAGGTGATATGCTAATCCAGTTCTGTCAAGAAGAAAAATTAGTCATTGCGAATACCTGGTACAAACTGCCACCTCGAAGACTCTACACCTGGCAGCCTCCACAACATACGCATGACAACATAGTAAAAAATCAATTTTTTTATTGATTAATCAGAGATACAGCAATGGATTGCAAGGAGTAAAAACGTACCCTGGAACAGATATCGGATTGGATCACAATCCCGTAGTAGGAAAATTGAAAATTAAGCTTAAGAAAATTAAAAGAAAATTGATATAAACAGCTTAAAACAACCTAACGTTAAACTAAAAATCACAGAAAAATTAAATGAGGTAATAGCGGATATCATGGCAAGATCTAAACCACCGGCCAGTATAGAAGACAAATTGAATTGTATTAAAAAAGTTATCGTAACCACCACCAAGTCTCTGTTCGCTTCCCAAAAATACAAAAAGAAGAATTGAATGACTGATGAAATATTATCAATGATGGACGACCGCAAATCATTTAAAAACAAAGACCAAACCAAACATCAGCAGATTAACCGACACATACGAAAAGAGTGTCGCAAAGCTAAAGAACAGTGGCTCCCAAAAAAGGCAAACACTAATAGTTGCGACCAATTCCGAATGATCAGCTTATTGAGCCAGGTCCTAAAACTCCTTAGAAAGAGACATTAGCCCCACACAGTTCGGTTTCAGACAAGGATTTGGCACAAGAGAAGCACTTTATAGCTTAACTGTCCTACTGCAGAAATGCAGGGATCAGCACAAAGATGTCTCCCAGAAAGCGTTCGATTGTGTTAATCATTCAGAATTAGCAAGGTTGCTCCAGGAAGGTTCGATAAATGAGAGTGACCTTAAAATCATAAAAAACCTTTATATGAATCAAGTGGCATCTGTGAGAGTAGGAATGAAATCTACATTATATTTCTCAATCGAAAAAGGTGTATTACAGGGTTGTGTTCTGTCACCCTTCCTTTTTAATCTTTACTCTAAAACGATTTTTGATAAAGCCTTAAGTGACAATGAAGATGGAATCAAAATCAACGGACAGACTATTAGTAATCTTCGCTATGCTGATGATACAGTCATAATAGCTGATAGCCAAGAAGCGCTACAACGCCTAATAGATAGAATAAACACTGAAGGAAAAGGACTGAGCTTAAAGATTAATATAGAAAAGACGAAGGTAATGGTGGTTAGTAGAACACGAAATATGCAATTCAATATAAGAGTAAACAATAAGAATATCCAAAAGGTCCCTAAGTTCAGATATTTCGGTAGTTGGATAACTGAAGATCTAGATCTAGACATAGACATACGTAGCAGGATTAAGCAGGCCAGAATAGCATTTACTAATATGAGAACCTTGCTAAGCAACAGGAGCCTTAACTTAATGCTTCGATATCGCTTTGTAATATGTTACATTTACATTTACTCCATACTATTATATGATGTAGAAACCTAGACCATAAAGGCCTATGTGATGAACCGATTGGAGGCCTTTGAAATGTGGGTATTTAGAAGACTACTTAAAATTCCCTGGACCGATCACACAACAAATGTCGAAGTATTAAATCGAATGGGCAGAGAACGAGAATTGCTGCCAATAATAAAAAGAAGAAAAACTGCTTATCTGGGTCATATATTTCGAAATTCCAAGTACCAGTTCTTAAGGATTATTATGGAAGGGAAGATAGAAGGAAAACAGGACATCGGAAGAAAGAAATATTCATGACTTAAAAACATAAGGGATTGGACAAACCTCGATGACCATGCACTCTTTAGAAAAAACTGCTTATCTGGGTCATATATTTCGAAATTCCAAGTACCAGTTCTTAAGGATTATTATGGAAGGGAAGATAGAAGGAAAACGGGACATCGGAAGAAAGAAATATTCATGGCTTAAAAACATAAGGGATTGGACAAACCTCGATGCCCATGCACTCTTTAGAGCCACACAAGATCGAGAGGAGTATGCCAGAATTGTCGCCAACATCCACTAATTGGATAGGGCACCATAAGAAGAAGAAGCGAGTAATTTAGCAACTAAACATGTCTGAACAACAAAAATTAAGTCAACAAACCAGTTGAATTAGTCGAGTTCATTAGTTACCGCAAAAATTTCTTTTCGCTGGTACGGAGAAACAACTAAAATTCGTTTCCAAATATTCAGAACATAAAAATGCTTGTGGAATATTAAAAAGGTATAGAACTGCTTATAATTTTGTTATTTCAGGAATCCCACTTCTTAAAAGGGTGTTTTCCGCTGTATTTGAGAGTGTTTTTCCAGTATCAGACAATTTACATAACTTTTAGACATTCTAAAAATATCGTATAAACAATACATAAAAAAGTAATCTTTGGGATCTTTCAATGCTTATTCTTTTTAGAAGACACTGGTAGCTCCTACTTTATCTCTTCTATCGATCCAATTTCGTATCCATAGATTCTTTTTATTAATCACACAAATTTCCTTAACCATCTCTTTTAAAACAGCCGTTACGATTAGCTTAATTAGTTTATTTACTTTATTGTAGGGATGTGTAGTTCACCATCGAAATAGTTCAAATGAACGATTCTTTCAACTGAACTAATTTAACTCGTTCATTAATTTTCATAGAACTAGTTCACTGCGAACGATTTGGATTATAAATTGTGTCTCAACTTCTAAAGAAGAAAATAATGTGAATGAGATCATATATTTATTATTTTTTGAATGGGATGGGTTGATAAATACAAAGACAACCTGGATTTCAGACAATAATGATCAAACAACCGAAATAAGAGCCAGGATAGAAATAGAAAGAAATGCGTTTGTAAAAATGATAACAATTCTCTGCAACAAAGATTAGAACTGAGAGTAAGAGCACTGAGATGCTACGTGTTTTCGATACTGCAATATGGACTTAAAAGCTGGACATTGAAGCAAGAACACATAAATAAGTTACAGTCAAGTACAATTACATAGACCCTGATAAAAACAAGGGGAGTAGGAGCAGGCTTTTTTTTAGGAATTATAACTGCTTTCTCATCTTCTTCCCTGTTTGTCCCACTAGCTAAACTGATTTTAACGTTGAAGGTTGAGGTTCTTAAAATGTATTTTCTCATTTTTCTGGTCCTTTTTCTATGTATCTTTCAACATTGAGATATTTGAGATTGATAGCAGGGTGTTTCATTCTTAAATGTCTTGATAAATTGCCCAGTGAACCAATTGCAATACTAATATCACATGAATAGTAATTACATTTTGCAGATTTTTGATTTTTATCGTTTTTCTCGAAATGATTCCATAAAAAACTTCTATTTCGTCTGTTATTCATCTTTTGGGATTGATTAAGAAAATAAATTATTATAAAGAAAAACTAACTAATCATATAATAATTTAAAACGTTTAAACCTAAACATAGAATCGAAAGAAATGGTTCCGAATCCGAACTACTTGTACGCCGTACGTACGGTAGTGAAAGACTGACTGAAAACCGAAGAAAACGGGCGGCCAGCGCCGAGCTTGTGTGATGATTGAGACCAACTGAGACGAGACATCTGGCAACCAGTTATGTTAGGGTTGGATTTCGATTTCGGTCCTACAAATAGTTCTTTTGCGAACTAGTTCATTTTTGTGAAATAGTTCTCTTGAACTATGTAGTTCGTCTAAAATAACTAATAAGCACACCTCGGCACTTTATTGCGTTATAGGCTGTTCATCTTGCAAAACCCAATCTACTTGTGAACTGCACTAGAACAAGTGCGATCGATTTTTGGGCAGTAATATGTATTTTAGTTACTAAATAACTCGCTACTCGACTAAAATACTAGCATAGTGCGAACTAGGTTTAGTATAGTTCGTAACAACCTATCATTAATAGTGTTATTAAACCTTTAACATGATATACAGTCTTAGTCTAGCTTACATCGGTCTGATAAACCAGCTTAAATAAAGTACTTTTTTTTTAATATAAAGACGGTACTAGATTTTTGTTTCAATACAGAGCGGCGGCAAGCCACTTATACGTATTTTGATCTCTTTAGGTCTCTTCATAGCGGTATAGACGTCTCTCTGGATCGAAACAAAATATATTCCCGTCTTAGACAATAGTTATCAAAATAACTATATACGGACGTAGCTACGACATCTAATAACAAAAAAAGAAATCATACGATTTCTACCTGGCGAAATCGAATTCAAATTCTTACCACTGTGCTTTCTAAAACTTGCAAAGCAAACAGCTTGATAAATTACTCGGCAAGGGAATCTAAGATTGCATTCCACATACCGTTCATCATGGCTTTTTTTACTTTTTTTACTTTTAGGTAAAGGTGTTTGCATTAGCATCATCTAAATAATCATAAATCAATTCAATGATACCTGAGCATCGTATGGGATCGATATTAATTAATTTAATCTGTATGCTTTTTGCTGATTCTTGAAATTAACGAAATATACTGTGACATATCAATATGACTGTAGAATATCTTACAGAAAATCATTTCCCTGTCCTCCAATAGCATACAGTCCTTGATTACATCCTACTAGTCCAAAATTTTTTCTGAAGTCAAGCATTGAAGGTTCTTCAATCCATTTTCTTGTAACTGGATCAAAACTCCAAACAGTACTGCTCACTTCATTACTTTTTGTGAGATCACTTCCGCCTAAAAAATTATATTAACTCATATTACCTTTTTGACATTCTAATGGTAATTTCAATAAAGAATCTAATTTTAAGTCTAGGATTTCAATAGTGTTTTATTTTTGAGATTTTGTTGCATTCACTGCTGTTAAATAACTGTTTTCTTGTTATTCAATGGGTAATTGTTAATTAGGCTAGGTGAAGGTAAGATTACCAAGTTAAGGTTAAGAATTTTTTAGATTGATAACGGGACATATTGAGTGATACTATGTCTCCAGATATAACATTTAATCAACTAAGTAAGAGTAGTTATAACTTATGAAAATAATAACTACATTTTTGTATAAGTTACAAAACAGTTTACGAAAAAGTGTCAGTTGGCGATATTTCCAACCTCCTCTTGGTAATATCGTCAACGTATTTCACATGCAGTATGAATGTTTAAATAAATATCAATATTTAAAACATAGATTTATTTTGTCAAAAGCAATATTCACGTATACCATGGAAAAATGTAAGATTGGATTTTGTCGTCGGTTGTTAGTCCAACACACTCTTTATATAAGTAACAAAGACAAAATATGCATAATTGCATGTCAGCTACTCTATCCTCTTTACAGGCCTTGCGCAGCCAGTTCTCTGGGATGCTTTGGGTAAGCTAGGTTTCTTATGGGAGGTATTGGTCTTACCGGTATTACCGATAGCAAATAGGTCCCTTGTTACAACTTGCGCTCTACTATTGAGGGCTACTTTCCTTTTTGGTCGTACAGATTTTTTTCCCATATTTGGAGTGTTCAGCATATCAGAAAATGAAGTATCATTATTTTTTTGCGTGATTATTATGGTCTTGATGGCATTTTTTTGTTCGTCACCTAAATCTAAGGTTTCAGAATCCCTGCTGCTGCTTGTCAACTTCAAAGCACGGCTCTATTTATAAGTACCGTTGTTAGCTTGGCCAGCTTTCGATATACCTGAACGAGGTGATTCTTGAGAAGGATAGCTTCGATCAAATAAGCTCTTCTCTGATGAGTAGCTGAGGGAGACCAGAGGGTTATCGGAAAGCGGGTCATGAGGTGCACTTTACTGTCAGTTAAACTACTAGGAGCATATGCCTCGATAGGTTGTATTTGAGTTCAAAGGATAGATACCAGTTGCTGAAAATCTCGATTAAATGTTATTTGATGTCATGGATTTATCCCATACTATGGAGAACATGCTTCCAAAATATTGCTTTGTTATTGAACGGTCTCTGTTTTGAGTCCAGTATTTTAAAACTTCATCATTTCAGAAATGCTTGAAAGACCGAAAAACTGCCTTATCCATTGGCCATAAGTAGTGTTACTTGGTAAGCAATATAGGATGATCCTAAACTCATCTGCAACTTGAACAATAGAGTAATGTAGATGGGAAGAAGCACTATCAAAAATCAATAGACAACGGCCAGGTGTTCGGTATTTCGCAAAATACGCAGTCAATTTTTGAATATCTCAACGGTCATGCTGCCTTTGGGTGTCATCATAATAGTTCCTCCAGGTAATGAATCTGTCTATTTTGATTTAAGTCGTATACCTTTAAACAACATTATTGAAGGAATGTTGGCACCTATAGCATTAATACCATTGTAACATTCTGTGCATGTTTATTTGCTACCACGTATACTCGTTTCGGTCCTTTATTTGCTAAAACTGTTTTTTTTGGTGATGCAACGTCAGCCGACATCCCTTTTCGTCCATATTATAAATATATACTTTGGCGTTTATGCAGAAGATTCTCATCAATAAGTATTTTTTGAAATTTTTGAAAATTGTCTTTGACGATGAATTTGTTTAATATTTAAGTTCTAGCAGGAATCGTATTCTGTGCTTTTCGGTTTCGGATTTCTGGGTTCGTTTTAACATATCCTTTGACCCAATAACGTCCTGTCATCTTTTTTTTTTTTTCTATTTTATCTTTTTATTGATCTTAACTTTGAACACATTTCCGTCCAATTGTGCATTTTGTCGTTTTATTACTTTTTACGTAATATCTAAGAGTTCTACGTGGAACTGAAAAGTGATATTACTTTTTATAATTTGGACACCAAGTACCTATTATTTAGTCTTTTAGATTACTCATTCAGTTAGTGGTAATAACGCCATGGCGCTATTACTGTACATTAGACTTCGTGACATTACCGACAAGAACTTAAATGCCTCTCTATCGAGTTTACTAAAGTGACATCAAAATTTGAATTTACTATTTTGTTCTTCAGAAGAAAAGCTATAGATCACTGAATTCGAATTATATTATATCTAACACAAATGTAGCCAATCCAATAAATACACAACACTTGAAATTATAAAAGCTTCCCCTTCTACACACAATAATGATAATCAACTGTTTTATATACCGCCAGGAAATTTATGTCGCCAACAAATATGACCACGAGGTTTCCTAGACTTCAACGGATGAACCCCTAAATTTCATTTAGCACCAATACTTGATGAGAAATCATAACTTGGCGTTATTACTATCCTGTCCTTATTACCCTCACCTACCTTATAATCAAGCACGATAAGCTCATGGATATACTAAAGGCAACTGATCTGAATAACAAAGACCTTCGAGTAATCAAAAATATATACTACAACCAATCAGCAACCATTCGGCTGAAAGACCAACTATCAGAGGAAGTTGCAATAAAGAGAGGAGTACGACAGGGCTGCATACTCTCTCCCCTATTATTTAACGTCTATTCGGAACACGTCATGAACCAGGCCTTAGAGCATATCGAAGAGGGTATTCTCATAAATGGTGAGCGCCTGAATAACAACTGATAGGCAGACGACACCACCCTCTTTGCAGACAGTTTAGAAGGTTTACAGATACTAGTACCGTAGTTGCGGAGAATCAGTCAGGAGTACGGGCTTGATTTTAACATCAAGAAAACAAAGTACATGGTCATCAGTAAGAAGCACATTCCACCTAGTCAATTACTGGTAGATCAGCAACAAATACTCCAAGTGCCCCGTTATTAATATATAATAACCACCATAAACGATCAATGGACCAAGTTGAGATAAACCAAAGAATTGAAAAAGACAGGTCAGCGTTTGTCAGAATGAGCAAGATATTTAAGAGCCATGGCCTACCCTTAAAAACAAAAATCCGTTTATTGAGATGCTACGTGTTTACAGTGCTGCTCTATGGGGTTGAATCATGGACACTAACCGAGGCATCCATGGGAAAACTCGAGGCGTTTGAGATGTGGTGTTATAGACGGATACTGAGGATCTCCTGGGTGGACCGAATAACAAACATTGAGGTTCTACGTCGGATGGATAAACCATGTGAAATTATATCCACAGTGAAACAGCGCAAGCTAGAATATCTTGGACATATAATGCAAACGACCATAGATATAACCTGCTGCAACTTATATTACAGGGAAAGGTCTACGGAAAGAGGGACCAGGAAGAAGAAGAACATCTTGGCTCCAGAACTTACGAAAATGGTTTTCCATGACCACTTCAGGACTATCTCGAGCTGCGGTCAATAAAAGTTAGAATTGCCATGCTAGTAGCCAAGATCCGTAACGGAGAGGCACCACAAGAAGAAAGACCTTATAATTTGGGTTGGGGAGAAAATGTTACCATTGAGTTCAAATGAAGAATCTGAAAGATAGCTATAAGACCTATTATACCATATCTTTTAGAAAATAAACCAGAAAATTTTAAAAACAAAGGGCGAGAATAAACAAGAGAAATGTAGATACTTCAGTGAATCGTTGAAAAGATGTTTCTGGTCAGAGAAATAACCAAAAGCATAAGAGAGACATGTGAAATCGCACACATTATTAAGTGTAAATTAAAAATACACAATAAGAATTTTAACATTTTAACAATAATGATATATACCTTAGAAACAAGACCCGACACAACCACAATACAAAGGCTACTGAAGATAAGAGTACTGAGAAGAATTACAGGAAATACACTGAGAAATCGAAAGAGAAGTGAAGACATTAACAGAAAATGTGACGTACACTGTCTAAATAGAAATAAAAAGAATGGAATAACGACATAAGCAGAATATGGGAGATCTGTGTCGTCAAAATAGCAAGATACTAATAGTATATATTGGAGATAAGTCACCAATCAGCACAAGAAGTATAGAATGACCGCGCAAAAGATGGAGTAACAACCTTCCATAGAGGTGTTAATCCGCCAATGAACAAGCAAAACTGTTTATAAAGAGAAAGAAGAAGAGAATTTTAACATATGATATTAACAGAATATTATGAAGCACAAATAGGGCATGTGTTGTAAGATAAAAGGGTGAGTTGTCTAAAATCTAGAAGAAAGATAAAAAAAATTTGGTAAAATGATAAGAAAATATATAAATGAAACTATTATCACTAAAAATAACCTCTGTTATGGTAATTATTAGAATCAAATGAGAGAGTTTACGTTTAGATGACTGGGGTTGATAATCACCTTATAGAGCAGTTACTAAGGAACGAGTTGCTTTCACTCATCTCACTACCACTTTTCTTTCTCGCTTCTAACATAAAAATGCTTTGAAAAATAGAACGCTTCAAGTATAGTGTTCCAAAACAAAAAGAGACAAGTCAACAGTAGTTCTACGTTTTATCACGATCAAAACTTTTTGAAATAAAAAAATATATTGCGAGAGCAACAAAATCGACTGAAAATAAACGAGAAGTATAACCAACACGAAAAACATTAACATATACCTCGATGATACTGTTAATTGTGTAGCAAAAGTGATAAAGGTCTTCCGCTCTCTTCGCTCCTACACACTCACCCCTTTCCCACTCACTACTCTCAAATTAGTATGATCACAGTCCTTGTATAGCATTGGGTTTATCTGCGTTTCTAGGCTAATAGTGTGAGATGGTTCACTGGGTAAATTCCTTTTTTAAGTTTTGTGTAACCTACGTACAATTTATTTCCATTCTTCTTTATTTCTTGATTTTCCATCTTCCCATCATTATTGCCCATTTTAATCCAAGGCTTTCGTGTTTTTTAGTTATGGTTATTTTCGAACTATTGTTTGGTCTACCGCTCTGTTGAATGCGCAACTAATTCATTTACAATGTTTTCCTTGATTGTACCAGATATTTTGTTCTGTTTTCTTCTTTTCCATAATTGGGTATTCGTTATTCTATTTGAGTATAGTATATCCAGTGTATCTTCATGATTTTTCTTAGAGATCTATTTACAAAAACTTGTACTTTCTTCCTCTTCATTCCATATCGAGGGTTAATTTACGCAAACTCGTATCTAAAAAGTAGCATGTTTTCAGAAAACGATAAAAACGTTTTATTGCATATCAGGTTACATTAAGATTTATTGGACCGTTATACAATTGTAGATGTTATTATATGTTGTAATTTAACAGTAGTATTTTTTTGTGCTTACTTTGTTGTTTAAATACTGTGAATATTATGAGATACGAGAAATGAACATTCATATTTTGTTACTGGATACTCAGATACGAGAAATCCGTTACAAACTGAATACCTGCTTTAGAATATTTAAGTCCTCTTAGATCCGTAACACAAAGATCCCCAGGTTTATTATCAGGACGAATGGAGCTCATATAGTTAATTGAAGAATAATTTTTGAAAAATGTGTGATCAACATAACGAACTTTATATGGTTTATGAAGCCTTGCTTCCTCAATTATGCGGACAAAATCTGCTGGAACATAAGTTCCCTATTCTTTTTCTTTTTTTCAATAGTTGCGTGCACCGAATCGCACTCCATTTGACTGTGCCCTTTAATCAAATACTTTTGGAAAATAGTTATGTTAAGTTTTAGTGCATAATTGTATAGAGCATTGGCTAATGTGGAGTTGCGATTCTGTGCACAGCAGCCATCGCTAAAGAAAATGAAAAGTTTTTCTAACAATTTTGAATCTACTTCATTTTTCAAAAAATCACATAAAAAAGATAAGAAAATATTTGCATCAAGCCCTCCTTGGGATTCATCCCATGTATAACATATAACTTCAGACGTAGCAAGGTTATAAATTGTAAACTGGTGGCAGTTCAACTTTTGCTTGAAATATGTAGCACCAGCCTTAATGAATGGAAGAGTCTGTTCGGTTGCGACATCAATGCATTAAGATTTCCCGATATTGCCTACTGTTTGTCACGATTTTTTTCATTGCTGGCATTCTCATACTGTGTTTGTGGTAAATTGTTATTTTTATATGAAAAACATGTATCACATTGGTCTTTTCTAGGACTGTACAAACCAATATTTATTGCCTGCATAGTTATCAACAATATTATCTGATAAATAAGTTTTGAATTGTCTGTAAACTTCAGAGCCAGAAGTGTAAATGATATTTAAATACAGTTTGTTCGTATCGGCCCTACAATAATGCGACGGCATTTTTGGCAAGTTTTCTAAAAAATATCTGACATGTATTAGTTTGTTTTCATTTACTTTAGTTTTGTTATTAACTTTCTCAGTTTTATGCAAAATTCCGAACGCATTACTTTGTTTTAACCACCCCAAGACTGTCCATTCACCACGGCCGAGCGTAGATAGAAACATTTTCTTACATACGGGGAACATTTGATTATGTATTTTTAGTGAATATTGAAGACTGTTTCTTTTGCTGCACCCCGTCATTATTTTTTGTTTTGTATCTGCTACTGTAACTAATGCACACACATAACCTTTTCTCTAATCCCAAGACATATGAGACCAGAATGTTTTAAACAAAGCGCTTCTGTCGTCTTCACTAATTTCACTACATTTTCTTTTCGTGCTCTTCATACATACAGTTGACTCACATGGTGATCCTAGTACTCTTGTCGGTCGCTTTTTGTAACCAATAAAACCCTTGTTTTTTACTTGTTTAACTGAAAGGTATGATGGTAACCTATCTCTGCTCATAGCCTTGTTTCTAGTTCACTCTTTTTGATTACCTTGTTTTCTTCGTGAACGTTTAGTCGAAGATATGCCTGAAGTTTCATCTAGATGTTGAACTGGAATTCCAGGAGGATTATGGGCTTCTAAGTCACTGTCATTTTGGGATATAATCTGATAATGTACTACTTCTTGCTTCAGTGGAATCACGCTCTGGTTGTTCAATAAACAATCCTGATTTTTCGTCAAGAATATAATTATCTGCATAACATATAAGATCTATTTTGTCGGTAGAGTCGTTTTTATTTAAAAACTCTCCAGTCTGATCATCTATGTGATATAAATTTGCGGGTTCTTTTACTACATGATTTGACAAAACTTTAATTTTTTTCGCTGATGGCGCACATTTCCAGTCTGTATATTTTTTTTCTTCTGCATCTTTAGCGTTCACCAGACTAGATATTGCTAAATTTACGAGTCTGTGACTTCTGTTTATAAACCAATAAATTAGCATTAAGGTAAAATTAGTTATAACCCATAAAGTTTGTAATCCTTATTACTAACAAAATTAATTTTTTTATTTAATTTTAACTGTCTCTGTCTCGAGCTATTCTAAAGAGTTGCACAGCTTTCCTTATTCCTGTTCACTCCCTGATATTCTTCAACCGCCTGCTTTCTACCAATTCCTCTGCGTCCTTCGATTTTACCCATCATAATAAGTTGAAGAATATTATATCAGTCTCCCCTTACTACGTGTCCAAAATAGGCCATCTTTCTACATTTGATGTTATCAAGCAGCTCGCAGCATTTGCTCTCTCAAGGACTGTCACATTTGTCAGCATAGCCGTCCATGACATTTTTAGTATACGTCTGTGCAGTCACATTTCAAAGGCCTCCAAACGATTAATAGTGGATATTTTTAATGTCCATGCTTCGACACCGTATAAGAGGACGATGCGCTTTCGAAGTTGAAGTTGCATGTTATCATTACAGAAGAATGACCTCATTTTTAAAAATGTCGTGCGGGCTATCTCGATTCTACATTTTATCTCTTGATAGTTGTTCAGTAATATAGCAACCAAGATAATTAAAACTGGACACTCTTTGAATTATATGACCATCAACATATAATCGTGCATCTTGATGTGCTAAACGGCTAAACACGATGTGTTTTGTTTTTGAACAGTTTATGTTTAGGCCAAACTCTCTTCCCACTGTATCAATGGCATTTAAAAGACATTGCAGTCCATTCATGTCATCACTTAAAATAACTGTATCGTCTGCATATCTGATTGTATTTATCAGAATTCCGTTAACCGTCACGCCCCATTCCAAATTATGCAGCGCTTCTTTAAATATTCTAATAGGATATCGAATAGGAATTCATTGAAATAAATTAATCCAACCCCGCTCAATTTTTTTTTTAACTAGATCTTAGAAAACGTGTACCATAATGGCAACCTGGCATAGTTTAACGAAACACGGCGATTCAAACATAACCTTAACATTATGTAGAAGATGAGAATAATTTTATTACACATAAAGAGTACATACCTGTAATTGTAAGAAAACTTTCAATATGATAATACACAGCTAATACTTTCTTAAAACAAAATGAAATGTTCGAATACTTTCAGTGTTTGCAGCGTTATTGCACTGAAAACCGTTAAAACATTTTAAAATGCGACTGATGCGAGGTTGCAAGTTCTCTTCGGGCGATGTTCTGCTAATATGTCGTTACTGTGATACGAGGGTGCGTAAGTTAAATTAATGCTGTCGCTGAGATACGAGAATTTCAACAAGAGATTTACAACAAAACTAAAAAAAAGTTTTGACAAAATCCGGAAAAAGAAAATTTTGAGATAGGTACGAGTTTGCATGAGTTATCCCTCGATATGCCTGTTCCAGCATCAAATATTTTGTTTTGTTACTTGATCTAATTTATTAAATTTGTATTTTTAAATTAAAATTGCCGTTTATTCCCATTGAAATAAAGTACACAGACAACAATGTCATAAATCTATGAGGAGAGATTTTAAGAAGATATTATTGTAAGGAGTATTTAGATCGATAGCAATTAGGATGTAGCAAGATACAATTTATTGGACATGCCAAATCCTTATTAAAAAGCTACTAGAATAATAGTAATGAAGATAGTTCGACAAATATACCTGCTAAAAATATCCTGCCCTTGTAAAACTCTGTGCAGTGATTGTGTCTTGCTTCAGGTAATTCTCCCACATATACCCAACGATTTCTGATAGGCATATAACTGTAAACATCTGTACCGGATCTTTCTCTATTATTATAACTATGTGGATCAAAACCTCCAAAGACTAACACTGTTTCTCTAGTTTTGTGGAAGAGTGATACTTCTTCTGTAAGGTTTCTTATTGTGGTATTGGTTACGTTGTTTCTAAAATGAGAATTAATTATATATTGTTTATTTAATTTCTTGAACCTTAAGTTTATATTTTTGAAAACACTTTAGGTAATATTAAAAGTCTTTTTTATTTATTCATAAGTTAACGTTTCGACAGTATTCCATGTCTTTATCAAAACTATTTAAAAAAATTGGTATGTTAATATTTAAATTGATTAGGTTAAGTTAAACATAATTACTGTATTTTTTTTAATACCTAGATATTCTCGTCAATATTGGCAGTTTATTAAAGTTTCTGGTGATTATAATAGGTTATTAAACAAAACAAAAACAAAGATTTTATAAATATCTAAACAATATAGAATGTTCTGGTGATCTTTACATCTTCTAAGTTTAAAATTGTCTTCTCTTTCTCTACATTTTTCCGGTAATAGCACTGACTGTTTCTTCCTCTTTGGTCGGCGGCATAAGACAGATCAACGGGATCACTATTAAGATCGGTCACATTAGCTGCTTTCTTCGGGTTATTCTTTATTATTTACTGCATAAGCTACCTTTCATTGCCTTTATCCAATTATTTGACTTATCATCTCTAACGGCTTTTTTAGGCCGGGGAAATAAGCAAAAAAAGTACCCTGTTTTTGACACTCGTCCGGCCAGGCAAACGACAGTTGTTTTGAGTAGTGTGGACCTCTGTTATAAAAACCTATATGTTTCCTGCAGTCGATTTTTTGGACTAAATTAGTTATTAACAAATTAAGTTCAAAAAACGGAAAATTTTTGCTTTTTACGGCTATCAGCAAAAAGTGAAGCAATTTAAACAAATTTTAGAAGAGAGGAAACTTATAAGTTATATGAAAACCTTCAAAATGGCGTTTTCAAAATGTTTCTATCCTTATTTGTTGCTTAGAAAGTTGTAAAATAAGTCAAAAATTTCTGTTTTTTATAAATGTTAAAAACTTTTTTGAAAATAAACTTATTTGAAAATAAAATTATACTATTTATATTTCATGGAATGATGTGTCTTGTAGTGCATAAAATAGGGTTAAAATTTAAAAGTGATCGGTTCAATAGTTTAAAAGTTATTTTATTTGTTTATCCCAAATTAACATTTTTTGCGACAATATAAGTCAGAAATTTATACAGTTTTAGAAATTGTACAGAAGTACTTGTCATTTCCTATATTTTGGGGAATAAGCCACAATTTAAGTTTATAATAAGTTTATTTTTGATGTTTCGATTTCTACTTCGGAAATCTTTCTCAGAATGCAGAACATTAATAAATTAATCAAATTTTATTTTTGGTTACTTGGTAGAAAATTTTTCTGATAACTCTTTTGGGTGATTGATTAGTATGAGGAAACTCAGTAGATCTGTTATAGTAAAAATTACAATAAAAATTATTGACAAAAATTGTAGACAGCTTTAAACTCCACATTTTAAAATTAGTTACAATCTTACAGGGTGTTCTATAAGATTGTGACAGACCAAACTTATGTTTTTTTAAATGAAACACCCTGTATTTTATTTTAAATTTGAAATCTGCTACACTTCCACATCACAATATTGTAAAGTTTTATTATGTTATACCGGATATTTAAAAAGTTATAACCAATATTACCTGAAAATCGTATCAAGTTTAACTCCCTGTATCATTAAAAAGGAGTATGAGACCATTGATCTATTGCAACCATAGTTTTTTAATAATTGTTAAAAATTGTAAAACATATTCGTTTTCATAATATTCGTTAATTCAAATACAGGGTAAGTCAAAATGCAAGTACATTATTTTCTTGATAATTTTAAATAGAACACCCTGTATTTTAAGTCACTATCGAAAAGTACTAATATCGTACTTTACATTTTATGGAATACTCCCTATACCTAAAGTTATCAATTTTCTAGATAAGTATTAATTTGGTAGATATTTGAACTTTTACCAATAATTATTGTGAGTTGGCCATGATTGATTTGTCAGAAACTGACCGTTTGACATTATTGTTTTTTAATTCAGTAACGAGATAACGACACAGAAAAGAAAACAATTTGTTTCAAATAAAATTTATAAAAAATAACCGACAGAAAATAAAAAAAATAACAACACATAAAAAAATAAAAAACAACTGTAATTTTAACTAATCATACTTAAGTAAGGTGTTCAAAATGACCTCCCAAAACATCTATGCATACTTGAAAGCGGTCATTGAAAGAGTTACTTACATTACTAAGCATTTGTAAAGAAATATTTTGAAATGCAATTCGGATTCTATTTTTTATATCCCTTGTTGTTGAAGGTATTTTTATATTACTTCGTTCTTAATGTAACCCCAAAAAAATGAGTCCACTTTATTGAATTCTGGTGACCTTGGGCCACCCCTTAAGATCCATCTTTCACCAAACTGATCATTAAGTTCACCACGTACTAATTCGTTGTGGTACGCAGAAGCACCTCCATGTAGAAACCACATCTGTTCACGTATATTAAGTGGAACCTCTTCTAATAATATCGGTAACTGATGTACGATAAAATCTAAATAAATCTTACCATTTACGTTATATTTAAACAAATATGGTCCTACTACATGGTTACCCACGATACTTCCCCACACATTTAAAGATTATCTTGTTTGACTATGTGTTACTATTTGGTATGGATTACTTGTTGAATAGTAGTGAAAGTTATTTATGCCTATTAACAGAACCGTTTCAGTGGAATGCAGCTTCATCACCAAATATGATATAATCAAAAAAATCTCTGTTCATTAATTTTTTTTAAGGCCCATTCACAAAATACTATTCGTTTCTGAAAATCATCATCATTTCATTCTTGGTGCTTTTGAATATGATATGGGTGCATCTTGTTTTTAGATAGAATGTTTTGAACAGAGTAGTAACTAAGTTCTTGCTTATTGGAAATACTCCTTATACTTGTGAGTGGGTTTTCTGTAACTGCCATCAACACACTCATTTCGTTTTCCTCTGTCACACTAGTTTTTTTTTCGTTCATGTTTTTCATAATTCACTGAACCAGTGCGGTTAAATCGATCTTTCAATTTTTCAAATGTATCTTGTCTAGGTTGCCGCCTATCTGGAAACCGTTCATGATAAATTCTAGCTGATAGTAATGAATTTTTATTGCATTCCCCCAATATCCAGATCATATTTATCTATCATTTCATCAGTAGTAAAATTCATTATTGCTAATTTAAATTGAATAAATTATTGAATTGCTAAATAATAATTGTTGCTAATTTACGATGTACCCAATACTGAATTAATAAACAATAATGTCAAACTGTCAGTTTCTGACAAATCAATCATGGTCAACTCACAATAATTATTGGTAAACGTTAAAATATCTTCAAAATTTATACTTTGATGGAAAAATAAAAATATCTAGAAAACTAATAACTTTATGTATAGGGAGTATCTCTATAAAATTTGAAGTACGATATTAGTACTTTTCGATAGTGATATAAAATACAGGGTGTTCTATTTAAAATTACCAAGAAAATAATGTACTTGCATTTTGACTTACCATGTATTTGATTTAACGAATATTATGAAAACGAATATGTTTTATAATTTTTAACAATTATTAAAAAACTATGGTTGCAATAGATCAATGGACCTATACTCCTTTTTAATTATACAGGGAGTTAAACTTGATACGATTTTCAGGTAATATTGGTTATAACTTTTTAAATACCCGGTATAACATAATAAAACTTTACATTGTTGTGATGTGGAAGTGAAGCAGATTTCAAATTCAAATAAAATACAGGGTGTTTCATTTAAAAAACATAAGTTTGGTCTGCCACCATCTTATAGAACACCCTGTAAGATTGTAACTAATTTTAAAATGTCGAGTTTAAAGCTGTCTACAAGTTTTGTCAATAACTTTTTTTTGTAATTTTTACTAAAACAGATCTACTGAGCTTCCTCACCCTAATCAATCACCCAGAAGAGTTATCAGAAAAATTTTCCAACCAAATTTTCTACCAAGTAACCAAAAACAAAATTTGATTAATTTATTAATGTTCTGTATTCTGAGAAAGATTTCCGAAGTAGAAATCGAAACGTCAAAAATAAACTTATTATAAACTTAAATTGTGGCTTATTCCCAAAATATAGGAAATGACAAGTACTTCTGTTTTACATTCAAACTTAACTTAAATACTACTAAAAAAAATGTTTTTAACAAATTATGTGTTTATTTGACAATTTATTTATGAATAATGCATATTCGTATGTACGCAAAAGTACTACAAGTTCAAAAAGAAACGTTGAAATACATAAAAAGGAACAGAGATACAGTTAACAGCGCCTTCCCCCTCCCTTCAGCTCCCGAGAGTTTCAAAGCCGACGGATTTTACATACATTTTGAAGCTTTGTGGAGGATTCCATTAAAGGGCAATAATTTTAAAATTTAGTAGTTTAAAACTATAATGTATATTCTTTCAAATAGCGCTAATTAGATTTCTTAATTGTTATAAACAAAGGTGCTATGAATTAAATAAAAAAAGAGGCTAACTTTGTACCAAATTATTTTAGGACAAACTTTTTTTTATTTAAATTTGTGAAAAAATTCAAGCTTTTTAAATATGTAAAAATAATATTTTTACAGTCAATGGTTAAAAAGTTATTCTAATTGTTTATAAGCAAAAAATCGACATGTTTTTGCAAAATTATTTTGCAATATTTAAAATTAATTTTCTTATTTTTTTTTAATGTAAATAATAAAACAAGTCTTCTTCTACCAGAAACAACCCTTACAATTTCTAAAACTGTATAAATTTCTGACTTATATTGTTGCAAAAAATGTTAATTTGGGATAAACAAATAAAATAACTTTTAAACTATTGGACCGATCACTTTGAAATTTTAACCCTATTTTAAGCACTACAAGACACATCATTCCATGAAATATAAATATTATAAGTTTATTTTCAAAAAAGTTATTAACATTTATAAAAAACCGAAATTTTTGACTTATTTTGCAACTTTCTAAGCAACAAATAAGGATAGAAACA